TTTTATTGTTAGTAGTATGATTTTATTTTGTCATTATGATATGACTGTGATGTCCAGTCTTTGATGGTTAAGCAGGAAAAACGGGAGGGGAATCAGACCTGCCAGTGAAGGAATTCCTTTTTGAGGTTCGCCCCTTGCCCTGGGGAGCTCTGAGCTTGGGCAGCGAGACGGGGAGTGGGCACAGGGGAGAAGGATGCCTGGAGGTGGGGGGGAGGGCCAGGCCTCCTGGGTGAATCCCCAGGCTTGTCTCAGTGAAGGTAGGTGGCTGGCCACTTGGAGATAGGAAGTTGTGGAAGTGAATGTCATCGGTGGCTAGTTAGCTGCATTTTAACCGCAGGCTCGTTTTACCAGTTACTGCCGTTTTGTGTAGGCCTCTGTGTGAACCCCAGGGTGGAGCAGCCAATGGGTGGGGCTTGCCGGATGGGTGGGGGCACCTTTTCTTGGTAGCGCCTGGCTCTGTGCCAGCTTTGGCCCTGACGGTGTCCATCAGCCAAGGTCTTTCCCCTGTCGGCACTGGCTCCTAACTTCCTGGGCTTGAACCCCGGAAGGTCCTGAGCTCTGCAGGTGCCAGGCAGTGGTGGTTACTGCAGGCCTCTGGGACCACATGGACAGGCACAGGTGACCTGGGCAGCGTCCCGCGGTGCCCTGGACACGCAGACGCTGGACTTCCCCTCCATCCTCGCTGTAGCAAACCTGAAAAAGAGCCTGTTTCCTGTTGGGGTGGGAGGAGGTGGGCTCAGACGGGGTGAGGATTTCTGTCTGTGATTCCCCCTCCCCCGTCCATCCACTGCGTTTTTATCATCCTTAAGACAAAGTAGCTGGCAAAATATTGAAGCGATCAGAAAGCAGTGTTTCTATTTGCCGGTGCGTGAGCTGGGTTATCTGCCTATCTTGTTTGTGAAATTTGGGGCTGCCTTTCCCGCACGCTGCGTTCGCCTCTCAAATCTTCCCAGCTCCCATTTCCATATTTCTGCGCGCTTGTTCTTTGTTAATCACTTGGCAAGCGCTTATTTGAATATTAAAAATTTCTTTAATCATCAAAGGCAGGAGCGCAGTCTCATGAATATTCATATTTTCCCCCCTCCTCAGACTGGATTGTAGTTCATTACCCTGCAGTAAAAGCCAAGCAGCCATCAATCGCCCTCATTACAGGCCCTGGCGTTTTGATTGGCTGCCTGCTGCCCAGAGCTGCTGCTTTTTTTTTTTTTTTAATTTTTTTCCCCTTCTCCTATAAGCTGTCTTGTACCTGCCAACAGCAACCCCCCAACATCACCAATGGAAAAAAAAAATCAACAACGCAAGAATACATTTTTACAGTCGAAAAACAACTTTGCAAACTTGTCCAGCAGTCCCTGTGGCTTGCTGCTTGCTGCCTTAGCGGCCACCGACGCCACCTCCCTCCGAGCCTCCCCGTCCCCGCCCCCTCCCCCAACAACCCAGGGAGAAAAAGGGGGGGGAGGGAAGAGAGAGAAAATTAAATAAATAAATAAAGAGGGAGAAACTTGAGCCTCAGAGATGAATATTTGTCAAGAGAGTTGACGTAAGTTTCATTTGCATAATGACTTTGTACTTCTGCATTAATAAAATTTGCATATGAAGCCATGTTAATTACTCCTGATCATGCTTTTTGCATTCATGCATAGTAATTTTCTCCGACTTGTGAGAATTAATGCTTTGGCATGGGAGGAGGGGGCGCGGGGCCTGTCAGGTCTCCTTGCCAGCGTCCCTCGCTCACAGGCGCTGGCTGCCTGTCTGTCCCCATAGCCTTGCTTGCTTCAGGACTCATTTCTCAGCAGCAGTAGGAGTCCTCGGCTGAGGACAGAAGGAACCACCACACGCCCCAGGAGGAAGGAGAGCACAAACACAGCGCTCCTTGTGGGGAGCTCAGGGTCTGTGGTCTCGCTCCCCGAGCCCCCCGTTTGGGAGAAGGCGTCCCTTAGGACTCGCTGTCCTGGGAGGAGGCTCAAGGCCCCCTTGGAGCTGGGCAGGGGGTTCCTGGGTGCGTTTTTGTGTTTGCACGCTGTCGGGGCGGTGGGCGTGTTCGCCGGCTAGTGCGCATGTGTGAGGGGCAGAGCCTGGCGCATCTGCCAGGCGGCTGGAGGGGAGGCGGTTGCAGGCCTCACGGAGGCTTTGCCGGCTTGATCTGCTCCCTGGTTTGGGGACGGCAGGTGCCTCTCAGGGGTGCTGGAGGTGCCCCCAGTCGTGCAGCCAGGAGGCAGATAAGACCCTCGGAGCTTCAGTGTTCAGTGTTTCCCCGTTTCCCCTGAATTAAAGCCCACTTCCCCAAGAGGCAGCCGGGCAGGTTGGGTTTTGTCTCTAAGCCACCTGGATCCCTGGCCATGCCGGGGTGGCCTCTTGCGGTCCCTGGACCTCAAGCCTCAGGGAAGGTGGGTCTGCAGGGGCTGCAGAGGAAAGCATTTGTTCGGAGAAGCTGTGTGAGCTGCTCCTTGGGCTCTGGGCGTGTTGGGTGAGGCCTAGAGGGAGTGTGGGAAGGTCCTGAACGGCTCACAAATGAATGAAGGAGTGAATGCGTGGCAGGGGCCGTTGATTGAAGGCTACATTTAAGGTGAGGGAACTGAGGCCTGCAGCCGTGGCTAAACTTAGGTCCCGGCCGGCTTGGTGGAGGAGGAGGAAGAGGCATGGGGGCCTGGTGTGCTTCCACGCCCAGTCCCCGCCCCCCCCATGCCCTGGGCTTTTTCCCTGGGGCAGGTCTGGGTGCCTCGGAGCTGGGGGCTCTTGGCATTCCGCAGTTCCTGGCTGCACTTTTAAAGATTTATTTTTTTTTTTTTTATTATTTTTGTATTGGAAAGGCTGGCTGCACTTTTAAACGCTGGGCCGGACGTGGAGAGAAAGCTCCCGTTGCAACGTGCAGTCAGCATCTTGCGGCTCCTCCCTGTTGCTCCCCTCTCCATCTGCCGCTTGCTGGCCACCACCACTTTCCTGTTCCTGGCTCTCGCTGCTCATGACACCTGAGACCCGCAGAGGGACACAGCACATGGCTTCCACTGTCACGTCTGCTGGCATTTACAGCAGCTTCCGCAGTGCAGTGTTTCTGGTGCACCTCTTGGCAGGGCTCTGGGTGGAGGCTGGCCCCACCCTGGAGAAGGGGGAGCTTCCGTGGGCAGGCAGGGGGCTGTGCCGGCCCCAGACGGTCTCCACTGTCCTGCTGCCCCCGACCTGCTGCCTGCAGGTGGCTATCCACAGGGTCAGGATCCCTTCAGGGTGTGCCCGGCCCTGGCCCCGACATGCTGTGGGACTGCCCTGGACAGACTGGCCTGAGCCCTGCCTTTGACTCTTGCACAAGGAGCAGGGTGGGGCTGCACAGGTGTTTCCTCCTTGCCCTTCACTCTGTCTTCTGCGCAGCTTGGCTCAGCTTCCTCAGCGCTGGACTGACCACGGCCAGGGCAGGAGTGCTTGTTGGCGTCTCGGCCCTGCAGGCAGGGCTGCAGAACCTGGGAGCCTGGACCCGGGCTGTGCAGGCCCGAGGGTAGTGCTAGGGACTCCAGCGAGGCTGTAACCCCAACGGGAAGCAGAACAGAACCAGAAGTTGAAGACAGCTGGGGTCAGTTGTCAGGGCTCCTCACACCTGCGTGTCCCTGTGGGGAACGGGCTGGGGTTTCCTGGCGCCACAATGGGCCAGATCTGCTGATGGGTACAGGAGATCAGGCCCTCTTCGACAAGTCAAAGAGGCCTTCCAGAGATGTTTGAGGCCATTCGTGGACAGGGTCGAATGCAGTGTGTTCAGTGCCCAGCACAGGTGGCAATCCTGGCCGTAGGTGCCAGCACTCCTCAGAACGGGGAGGGGAGCTGCTGGCATCGCTCCAGACTGCTTGGCCACGCCCTGCCTGGGCCCTGGGCCTGGTTGCGAAGGATCTTCCCGGCTCAGACAGGCCTGAACAACAACTACGTCAGCTTTGGCCTCAGTCCCACGCTGGGGGTCTTCTCCAATGCCATGATGTCTTCCCTGATTTGACGGGAGGGGGCGGGGGGAAATGGCTCGATTCTGAAGCTAGACAGCTGGGGGCTCAGTGGGCCTGGCTGCCAGGGTCTGCTGTTTTCTGCCTTCACAGCTTCAGTTTCCTGGTCTGTACAATGGGTACCTACCCGGGTGGGTGTTAGGAGACTCTTGTGACTGCCTGACAGGCGGGGGGCTCGCAGGGCCCTGTGGCTCTTCTGGGGAGGGGGTGGTGGTCTGTGATGGGGCGGGGGCGTGGAGAGGGCGGCCCCCAGCTGGGGGTGGGGCGGGCTGAGGCCTCCCTGGCAGAGCTGGCTGGGCCCAGCTGCCCGTCATCTTGTTGATGTTTTCTTTCCGTCTCTCTGATGCTTCCCCAATTATTTACCCAGGGAGTTTGGGCTTCTTCACTTGTGGTTTTGGCAAGGGCTTCACACAAATGTTTTGCCCTGGTGGTCTCTCAGCCATTTAAGATAAACGGCCAAATCAAATGCAGGCCTGCCTTGCCCGGGAGCCCAGGCGAGCCCCGGCCCTGGCCCCACGGTGGTGCCGTCAGGTGGGCGGGCCACCCAAGCCAAGGCCAGGACCTTGAGGGGCCCCTGGGCAGTGCTAGGGCTTCATGGGGGGAGCACCGAAGCCTTCTGGAAGCCTCGGCTGCAGAGACACCCCATCCTGTCCCCACCGCTGCTGTTAGCTCGGCAGGGGATCAGCCAGTGGCCAGGCCCTCTCGGAGGTGGACCTGGGACACCCCAATAGTCAAGGCATTGAGCTTCATGGCTCTTGCAGGGAGGGCTGGCTTAATTTTGGGGGACGGATTCTCAAATGGATCCCACCTAATGGGAATCCCTCCCTGGGTGTGGGGCCCCCTGAGAGCCCAACCTGGCAGCTGTGGTCTTAGGCCTCTCTAGCGGTCCCCTGACCCCCAAAGGGCAGGCTGCAGCCCCCTCGCACAGTGTGGCCCCGGCCCTGCCCCTTGTCCCTTGCCCCCTTGTGCAGTCCGCAGCCCGCAGTCCGACTGACCAGCTTTTTCTATTGTTTTTTTCTCCAGGGCCGTGCAGGCCTGCCCAGCTGCCAGCGATGGCCCCCATAGCTGCCTCCTCCCACCCTCACACATCCGTGATTACTTCACCTCTGCGTGCCCTGGGCACTCTCCCGCCCTGCTTCCCCCTGCCGTGCTGCAGCGCGCGCCCCGGCTCGGGCGATGGGCCTCAGGGTGAGGGTCAGACGGAGGCTCCCATTGGATGCCAGTGTCAGTGGTCAGGTAACAGACGCCGCCACCGCGGGGGATGGGAGGGCTCCCGGGGACGGTGGGCAGAGCTGGGGCAAGCTGGGGCCCCCCTCCTGCCCCAGGGCGACTTCTGGGGTGCCAGGGCTGTTGGCAGAACTGCAAACCTGGGCCCCCAGCATCGGGTGGGCCCCCCACCTTTCTCTAGGGTCCTCAGCTTCCGGCTCTAGGCTCCCGCTCTGTGTCCCGAAGGCTTGATTGGATAACGTTTAACACCTGAGGCTTCCATCAGCCTCTGCTGCTGCTGCCCGTTTCCCCCACCCCTGCCAGGCAAGGCTAGAGAGATTCCTGGGGTGTCTGTGTTTCTGTCTGGCCTCTGCACCAGAACCATCCAAAGTGTGGGTTCTCTCCTGGGACCAGGTGTTGCCTGTTAACTTGGAGGAGGTGTGGGGCAGAGGCATTTTGGGCGGGGCAGGTACCTACTGTGTGCCTAGCCCTGGCAGGCCCCAGGCTCGCAACATGGGAGGGGTCAGGGCTGTGCAGTGGCCCGGAAGGGTACCAACTGTGTGCCTAGCCCTGGCAGGCCCCAGGCTCGCGGCATCGGAGGGGACAGGGCCGTGCAGTGGCCCGGAGGGTACCAACTGTGTGCGTAGCCCTGGCAGGCCCCAGGCTCGCGGCATCGGAGGGGACAGGGCCGTGAGCTGGCCTGGAAGGGTACCTACTGTGTGCGTAGCCCTGGCAGGCCCCAAGCTCGCGGCATGGGAGGGGACAGGGCCGTGCAGTGGCCCGGAAGGGTACCTACTGTGTGCCTAGCCCTGGCAGGCCCCAGGCTCGTGGCATGGGAGGGGACAGGGCCGTGCAGTGGCCCGGAGGGTACCTACTGTGTGCCTAGCCCTGGCAGGCCCCAGGCTCGTGGCATGGGAGGGGACAGGGCTGTGCAGTGGCCCGTGAGCTGGCCTGCACTCTTTCCTTTCTCTCCATCCCCACCCTCCCACCCTGGCAGCCTGAAATCTGGGTGTGGCCGGGGGCCCTGGGGACCCGCAGCCTTGTGAGACGTGCTGTGGTCACCTGGGACAGGCTGCTGACCCAGACACACGTGGTGAGTGTCCTGGTTCCCGTGGCAGGGACCTGGAAAGAAGAGGGTGGCTGTGGGTTCGTTGTGTCCCTGCTTTGTCACCAGGCGCGTTATGCAGGCATCCTCTTGACTTGGGAGCTGTGACAAGGAAAACTATTTTTATTGGGCAACTTTATTTTCTTCTTTCCATGAAAGCTGTCTCAGGGGACAGTCCCTACTGGAGCCACAGCTCTGCCAGGAGGTCCTGAGGCAGCCAGGAGCCTGCTATTGGGGTGTGTGGGGGGGGTCAGCCTTCAGTAACCCCTGCTGTGGCCTCTTATGGGCTTGTGCCTTAAATGGCCAAAGCAAAGACCAAAATCACCTGGGAAGGACTCAGAGCTGCCCGTCCTGGCTGCTCTGGGCTTGGTGGCCGAGGCCGGGGTCGGGGAGTGCCTGCCCAGGCTCTCCGGATCGGCACTGCTGTGGGTCAAGTGCATACAGAAAAATGGTCTGCTTCTCTTCTTGGGCTACGCTGGACTCTGGTCTTGCTTTGAAGCAGATGTGTCCCATCGGGGGCTGGACCCCTCCCTACTGTGTACCTGGGGTGGGGTGGGGGCGTCCGTATGTGCAGAGTGGGAGCTGTCACTTGGGAAAGCTGAGGCTCTGGGAGAGAGTGGCTGGGCCCAGGGTGTCGAGCTGGGATGTGTCCTGGGCACCAACCACCCCTCTTCTCATGGAGTCCTGTTGTTCTGTCTGTATCTGGTGGAGGGCAAGCCAGCTTTGCATTTGCAGAAATGCCTTGGCTATGCAAGAACTCGGCCATCCACCATCCTGCCACCCCTGCTGGGCTTCTTCAAAGGACCATGGATGGAGGGGCTGTCATGCGTGGCTTGTCCTCTGCACTTGATGAGCCTGTGTGGGGAGAGGAGTGAGGCAGGTCTCCCCTTCCTGGCTGGACAGGCCAGGGCCTGGGGTCTGCTCTTGCCTCCAGACCTGCATTCTGTTGACCATGCTGTCCTCTTCCTTTGCTGGGGCCCCATCAGCAAGTATGTGCCTGATTCTGCAGTTTTCTGATTGTTTGCAAGAGGTTTGTGTGCCCGCTGTGGTTTCTGGTCCCACACTGGGCTGTCTGCCCGTGATCAGTAGTTGGAGTAGAGTCGTTGGATCTGCAGGAATCGTCAGGAAGCTGCTGTGCACTGGGACCCCTTTTGGATGGGGACACATTGAACTTGTCTCTTCCCCAGGAACACGCCGAGCTCCTCTGCACCTGTCTTAATTGTGTGCCGATGGATGCTCGTGCAGTTATTTGTAGGAGGGGACAGCTGTGCCCATGTGTGTCCGTGGGTATCCTGGGTGCAGCCCTGCCTCCCGGGACCCCATCCCCGGCCTCCTGAAGGTGTCCATGGAGAACGGGCACTTGGTCTCTCAGGGCACCTAGCACTGAGCACTTGCTTGAGACAATTCTATGCAGGTAATTTGGCAGGGTGGCAGTGATGTCCATGTTGGGGTCTTGACCGTTACCTCAGCTGGCTGATGGCCTCGGACAAGCCATGTCCTGTCTGCCTTTTTGTGTTTTGACACAGTTTCAGAGGAATGGGATTGGAAAAAAGCTGGTTTGAGTGCCAGTTTTGAAATCCACGCAGACGAGGGGTCACCAACAGTGAACTGTTAATTCCATTTTCTCATAAGCTTTCTACAGCACCTTCATATGTGTGTGTACTTTTTAAAACATTTTTATTTTTATTGGAAAGTCAGATATACAGAGAGGAGGAGAGACAGAGGAAGATCTTCCGTCCAGTGGTTCACTCCCCAAGCGGCAGCAATGGCTGGAGCTGAGCCAATCCGAAGCCAGCAGCCAGGAGCCTCCTCTGGATTTCCCACACAGGGGCAGGGTCCCAAGGTTTTGGGCTGTCCTCTATTGCTTTCTTAGGCAATGAGCAGGGAGCTGGATAGGAAGTGGGGCTGCTGGGATTAGAACTGGCGCCCATATTGGATTCTGGTGCTCTCAAGGTGAGGACTTTAGTTGCCACGCTATTGCGCTGGGCCATGTGTGTGCATTTGTAACATTTAGAAATGAGGCCCTTGGGACGGGCATCATAGTGTAGTGGGTAAAGCTGTCATCTGTGGTGCCAGCATCCCTATGGGCCTGGTTCATATTCTGGCTGCTCCACTTCTGACTCAGGACTTTGCTAATTTCCTGGGAAAGTGGGGGAGGATGGCTCAAGTCTTTGGGTCCCTGCCACCCGTGCGGGAGATTCAGAGGACGCTCCTGGCTTTGGCCTGGCCCAGCGCCTGCTGCTGTGGCCATCTGGGGGATTGAATTAGTGGATGGAAGATCTCTCTCTCTCTCCTCTCAATTCTTTCAAATAAAATAAATCTTTCAAAAACTAGATGAGGCCCATGCACGTGGATCATTGAGACGGATCAGTGGGGCCTGGCTGGAGTCACAGGGCAGAGGCAGGTGTCTAGGGCCGTGCTGTCTCTAACTCCTTGTCTCTAAGCCTTCTGTAATTAAAAGGCCATCCTTAGAGGTGACAGCCCTCTGCTGGGGGAAGCTCTGTGGCATCAGGGTACATTTCTGCTGTCTCGGCCTCAGTCTACTCATCTGAAGGCTGGGGTGATGATGGGACATGGACTCGAGGGTTGTTCTGAGGGTCCCAGGAGCTGGGCACCGTGCCTGGCTCTGCCTGTGCTCCAATGTGGCTGACTCATGGCACTGCGGGAAGGGCCTCCCCTTAGGCCAGGATTGGTGTCCACCACCCTGTGGGCAGGCTCAGGCTTAGCTGCATTCCTGATTCCAGGCCCTCGCCTCTTGGCTGGCTCTGGTAGTGTGCTGGCATCGGCCGTGGAAGAGGAGCTGAGATGTGTTGTTGCCTATTTCAAAGCTGCAAGTGGTCCTTGGCCCCTGGGATGAGCACAGCCGGGCGTGTTCGGGGTCTCTCGCATGGGTGTGCAGGATTCCAGCTTGGGGAAGTGGAAGTGTTTGGGTTTAATAGAGGGAGTCAGTTGCAGTCATTAGTATATGCTGAAATCACAGGGCAATCTTGTAAAGTTAAATTCAATTTACTTTTCTACCGAAATTGTGCTTGCTGTGTTATTTAGCTAGTCTGGGGTTTCTTGGCATGGGTTAAAGGGACAATAAAGATAAAAGAATACCTGTAAGTAAATAGTAGGGTTGAACAGTGGAGTCGCTCGTTTTCTCCTCCTTCAATTATATCCCAGTGTTCCTTCTGTGCTGGTTTTATAACCTGAGCCGTCCAATGGGATGCGGTAGGTTAGACCACCCTAGCCGAGGAGGCTTGATGCGATTAATACAGTCTGTCTGGAAAGTGGCCTTATTTCTGGAAGTTTTATTTTAATGATATGGTTTGTGCTCTGCACATTTCATACCAGAACAAGCAGCAAGCTGTAGCGTCATTCTGGACAGGGTTTGATTAACACTGCAGGATCCGTGAGCAGCCGACCGAGATGGCCACACTGCCCAGCCCTGGCTCAGTGCTGCCTGGAGCATGGGTGCTGGAGGGGGCTCCCAGAGGGCCTCACTGAGCCTCTGAAGGGGAGGGAGGGTGAGTCCGGGGCTAGAGAAGGACGAACCTGCAAGTTGGCTGGTGGACCCCCTTGGGGCGGGTGGAAGGTTTGCTGGGGGGGTTCCCTTTGGAATGTGGGGGTTGGCTCACGGTGGGCCAGTGGAGTTGTGGAAGATGCAGGCAACCTTCGCCTCGCTAAGGGGCCTGAGGGTTCCAGCGGTGGTGACGGGACAGGCCCTGGGTGGCAGCTGTTTGCCTGTGGGGATCATGCCCCAAAGAGGTTGGGGTCATGGCCTCCCTCTGTGATGGCAGCCAGTGTCCCTCCAGGCCCCTGCCCTGCCAGGGCTGTATGGCCTCCAGGGCGGAGCCAGTGGTGGCCAAATTGGCAGGGCATTGGTAGGTGGTATAAGACTCCCTGTTCATAGTCCCCCTGGTACTGCTGCCACCACCAGAGGCCCAGAGAAGTGGTGTGGGGACGGGGTGGGTACCTACCAGTGCAACTGGCCTGTCCTCAGATTAAAGGGGTCCCGGGCGCGGCCACGGCGGCAGCCTCACCAGATTGCGTCTTCCTCTGCATGCTGGCCCTTCAGACACTCTGGAGGCTAAATCAAAGCCTTCTCTTCAAATCCGTACAAGATGCTGCTGGTTCTCTGCTCCGACAGGAGAGGCCGTTGGAAGTGCAGCTCCTTTCTTTCTTTCTTCCTTTTTTTTTATAGCTGTCTTAAAAAGGAGGTTGGCTGTTTAGCACAGCTGGTGCTCATTACATTATGCACTGGCAATAAAATAGCATGTGTAATTAATTTTTAATGCAGTGCTGGATGCAGGGCCTTTAAGCAGTGAGTGGATGGGAAGCAGCAGCAGTGGCCACCGGCAGCAGAAGCCTCGGACCCAGGTGGCTGCCTTCTCCTGCAGAGGAACTGGGCAAGCGGCCGGGGAAGCCTGGTGCTGTCCCCCCACGTGCAGTCCGGGGGTAGTGTCCTTCATGATCCAGAAAGGCAGCATGACCCGAGGCGTCATTTCACCAGACCACTCCATTCTGTGGATGCGGAAACCAAGGCAGCGCGTGAAGGAAGCAGCTGTCAGATGCAGGCACAGAGCTGGCTGAGACCTGGGTGCCCAGGGTCTGCCCAGCACCTCACACTGCCCTTCTTGAGTCCCCGTGGAAGCCAGACAAGGACACTTGTCACCTAGCAGAAGACACTTAAAAATTAATCTCCCAGGAGCTGGGAAATTGGGTGGAGGTTTGGCTTCAAGGGGCCGCCTGTGTGGCTGTGCTGTGCTCTGCTTACTGGCTGTCCCATCTCCCAGGGGCCCCAGGAGGGGACTCGTGCATGACCTCACCCGTCAGGGGCGCCCATGGTAGTGGGACAACTGCAGGCAGTGTGGCCTGCCTGGTTCTTCTTCCCAAAGTGAGCAATACAGGAGAATGTGAGGCCTTGCTGGCCAGCTGCTGTCTCGGAGCCTGAGGACACCCATCTGTAGCATGGGGCCACCCCAGGTCCCTGCGGAAGCCCTGCCCCACTGACTCACTGTGGCCTCAGGGACCTGCATCCTGAGTCCAGGAGCCCTTCTTACGGAGAGACAAGGGCAGGTACTGTCAGCCATGTCCCTAGGGCCCATGATGGACAGTGCTGTCTTAAGAGCGACTCCTAAGGAGAAGTGCGCCCCCACCTTGACCTGCTTATGAGGATTCTAGGGCTCAGGGCAAATTACCTGCTTAGGGTCACACAACACATGAGACACGTGGAACTGAGATTCCAGCTTGGGTCCCTCTGGTCTGTGTGGTTAGGCCACCTCTGTGGCTTCCTGTTGGCCATGGGCCTCAGTGGTAGAGGGTGGACCAAGCTGGACATCTGCCTGGGGCCTTCTGACTTGGGGTAACCCTAGTGAGACACTGGGGTGTTTGCTTCTTCCCTGTGCACAGACTGAGATCCTGTGGCAGGTATGGGTGTCTTCAGGAGCTCCCCCCGGCTGCACCTGGCGACCCCAGAGGGAAGTGCTGATGTGGAAGAGGGGCCAGACAAGTTCGTTCCTTCAAATCATAATCAAATTGGGGCCTGACTGGGTGGGGATCAAGGATGTAGCTCCTGAATCCCCATGTCAGCCTTTGTCAGGGTGACTCCTGTGCCCACTGGCCACCCAGTAGTGCCGGAGGCAGGGGTAGGGGTGAGCCCCGATAAGGAGCAGTGACACAGCCCAGGATGCGTCCATGTGGCTGAGAGAGGAAACAGAAGATGGGGCTCCTGGAGCTGGGTTGGTGTGTGATCTGGCGCAGCTGGTGTGGGTAGCTCCCCTGCAGGCGTCCCTTGGGAGGGGACCGTCAGATCAGGTTCAGGGGCCTTTCCACCCCTGGATTTGGTCTTCCCCACCCTTTGTCTTGTTGGAGGGTGGCCTCTTTCGTGATGCACAGGCAAGGAGACAGATATCCTGGGGTGATGGGAGCTGGCTGACATTGATCGTCTGGTGGGATTTGGACCCAGGTTTCTGAGTCTGGGCCTGCCCCTCCTGGCTCCTTGGCTCCCTGCTGCTGCACTGCCCCCAGTCTGGCCTGGCCTGCTCCCTGGCAGGTGTGGACGAACACATTGCTGCTGAAGGGGTCACTGGATGTTCAGAGACCAGGCTGCCTGGGGTTCCTGAGTTGGAACGTGCACACTAGATTCACTGTGTTCACCATTTTTAAACGAGCGCTTTGGAGGTGTGCACATGGCTCATGCCAGCCTTCGCATGACAGGAGACTTGTGTGGTCACGTCTT